GACTATCTAGAAAAATTTAGAACGTCCCAGAACCATTTAGAACAATCCAGAATCATTTAGAAGTGCTTAGAACCTTTTAGAACGCTCCAGAAACCTTTAGAATTGTCTAGAATTCATTGAAATGCTCCACAATCATTTAGAACAGTCTAGAACCATTTAGAACTATCTAGAAGAATTTAGAACGTCCCAGAACCATTTAAAACAATCCAGAATCATTTAGAACTGTCGAGAACCATTTAGAACTATCTAAAAGAATTTAGAACGTCCCAGAACCATTTAGAACGCTCCACAATCATTTAGAACAGTCTAGAACCATTTAGGACTATCTAGAAAAATTTAGAACGTCCCAGAACGATAAATTACGATATTTATTACTTAATAGATCTATGATTTAGTATTATGATTAGCATATTTAATTTTATACAACTTGTTCCATTTCCGATTGCAATATGGTCATTTCTATGAGTGGAACAAAGAAAGATTATTAAAATGACATATTGACAGTTATCAGAGTGAAAAGTTGTAATGACACAATGTCACTCTTTCTTTTTCCATTGTAAGTGTCTAATGGAAGTTGTCTTTATCGCACCCATGGCCTATATAACCTATATATTGCAATCAAAAATGGAGCAACCTGTATATCTAGTTTGAATTTAAACAAAAGAAGATTATATCATTTTCATTATGATCGCAAATATCTGATAATAAAAGATTATAAAATAACTTACTTGACCAAAAAAACAACAAGTGAATCAAGAATAAGATAGATAAATAGAAATATATAAATTATTTATTTCCGAAACCTGTATTTGCAATAAACGATCGAATCATCTTATCGTCTTATCGATTAAAAAAATTATCGCACGTTTTATTTATTCTAAGAATTTTCCACTTGATTTTTTCTAGCGAATAAGTTGTTTGATTGCAATAGAAATACTACGTGATTTAAAACACGTAAAATAATACAATAATAATAACCTCCATAAAATCGCTCAAAAGTTACTCTAAAAAATCACTGCAAAATAACTTAAATTTCAACACATAAAACTCGCTAAAACTGCTCTAAAAGAACTCTAATTACGATTCAAACCGCCATAAAACGTCCCAGAACCATTTATAACAATCCAGAATCGTTTGGAAGTTTCTAGAACCATTTAGACCATTTAGAACCATTTAGAACTGTCTAGAATCAATTGAAACGCTCCACAATCATTTAGAACAGTCTAAAACCATTTAGAACTATCCAGAATCATTTAGAACGTCCAGATCCATTTAGGACAATCCAGAATCATTAAGAAGTGTCTAGAACCATTTAGAACGCTCCTGAAGTATTTAGAACTGTCTAGAATGAATTGAAACGCTCCACAATCATTTAGAACAGTCTAGAACCATTTAGGACTATCTAAAAAAATGTAGAACGTCCCAGAACCATTTAGAACAATCCAGAATCATTTAGAACAGTCTAGAACCATTTAGGACTATCTAGAAAAATTTAGAACGTCCCAGAACCATTCAGAACAATCCAGAATCATTTAGAACAGTCTAGAACCATTTAGGACTATCTAGAAAAATTTAGAACGTCCCAGAACCATTTAGAACAATCCAGAATCATTTAGAAGTGCTTAGAACCTTTTAGAACGCTCCAGAAACCTTTAGAATTGTCTAGAATTCATTGAAATGCTCCACAATCATTTAGAACAGTCTAGAACCATTTAGAACTATCTAGAAGAATTTAGAACGTCCCAGAACCATTTAAAACAATCCAGAATCATTTAGAACTGTCGAGAACCATTTAGAACTATCTAAAAGAATTTAGAACGTCCCAGAACCATTTAGAACGCTCCACAATCATTTAGAACAGTCTAGAACCATTTAGGACTATCTAGAAAAATTTAGAACGTCCCAGAACGATAAATTACGATATTTATTACTTAATAGATCTATGATTTAGTATTATGATTAGCATATTTAATTTTATACAACTTGTTCCATTTCCGATTGCAATATGGTCATTTCTATGAGTGGAACAAAGAAAGATTATTAAAATGACATATTGACAGTTATCAGAGTGAAAAGTTGTAATGACACAATGTCACTCTTTCTTTTTCCATTGTAAGTGTCTAATGGAAGTTGTCTTTATCGCACCCATGGCCTATATAACCTATATATTGCAATCAAAAATGGAGCAACCTGTATATCTAGTTTGAATTTAAACAAAAGAAGATTATATCATTTTCATTATGATCGCAAATATCTGATAATAAAAGATTATAAAATAACTTACTTGACCAAAAAAACAACAAGTGAATCAAGAATAAGATAGATAAATAGAAATATATAAATTATTTATTTCCGAAACCTGTATTTGCAATAAACGATCGAATCATCTTATCGTCTTATCGATTAAAAAAATTATCGCACGTTTTATTTATTCTAAGAATTTTCCACTTGATTTTTTCTAGCGAATAAGTTGTTTGATTGCAATAGAAATACTACGTGATTTAAAACACGTAAAATAATACAATAATAATAGTACAATATTAAATTAAAATATTCAGAAACTAATGAGAATTACTATAAATCATTATGATATTTTGGAAATTAAAGTTCGGCTTTCAAAACTAGAATTTTCTAAAATTACCAAAAAAAATAAGATAAAAATAAGTTTTGTGACTTTGGCATTATCTTTGAAGTTCGAAACCCAATTTTGATTTTAACGTTTTTGAAATAAGTGTGGTTAATTGAAATAAGCCATGTTTTCTAAAGTTGGTTACTTATATTTGAATTTATTGAATATTTTTGAAGTTATTAAAAAAAATAGAATATCAATTTGCACTTTAAATAGGCTTTAACTTGTTTTGTATGGAATTTTGCTAACTATGGACGCGGTATAGACAAAGAGGTTAGTGTTTATCCGAATTTTTCTGCATTTCTTAATAAACTGTCATTTATAAACTAAATCTAATGATGAAATGACGTCACTGATGACGATTTACATTCGTGCAGAAATATAAAGAGAATTTTTGAGGTTTAATTTAAGGAAACATCGGATTGGACAATGCATTAGCCAATAGTAAGAATAAGACCAAAGTGAGTTACGTTTGCAGAAATGCAATGTTTCATAGATAATGAACACCTTGTATGTATATATTTTACACATATTTTTATTTGATTCCGCCTACTTCTTGCCCTAACTAGCTCCATCTCTTACGGACCTCTCTCTCTCTCTCTCTTTGAATAACCTCACAATATGGGTCCAATCGACTTCATTTTTACCGTAGAATATGTGGTACAATTTACGATCCACCTTTTTGGTACTTCCTCTAGATAATTTACAAAAACTAAATAAAATAATAATTCGTTGAAAACGGTCGACATAAAAAAAACTAAATAAAACCATAAATAACCACAAAAAAGCCCTCAAGAAATCATATGATAAACACAAAAAATGACCATTTACGATATCTTATCTTTAGATCTCCAGATCTGTACTAAGTATCTTACTAAATTAACGCGTACCTAATTCACTGAAATTATTATTATTTCAGTTGCGTTAATTGAATACCGGAAAAATAGCAAAGGTCTGTATAATTATTACATCATTTATAGGTTCATTTATAGGTGTTAAATAGTTAAAAAACAATAAATTGATTTCGTTTATTGATGCTGATCATTAAATAGTCGGAAAAGCAAAATATATATCTTTTATTGAAGAAGGTATCAAAAATTTCATTACAAAAGTTGTAGATCTTTTTAAGCTGCATATTTTAAAATTAGTTAGGTAAATTTATACAGAGTGTCCTGTTTTTTCGTGGTAGACCCTCATTTTTTACTATTTTTACATGGTTTCTTTATTTTTACTTTATAGGACTTATTATGCCTGCTCAGATAAGCTTCGGAATACTTACTGGTAAGTAGGCAACTCATTTTACATTTCTTTGATTCAAATTGACTCTCCATTACAGTCAGCGACAGCAGTTATGCGGGTAAAGGCAATGATTCATCAAGTCCTGAATTAAAAAAAGAAATATTAAAGGAGTTTCCATCGGCCGAAATAATCGCAATAAAAATCGTACCAGTGGATATGCAGGAAATTAAATCGACTCAAACAGAATGGTTCGACTTGAAAATCAACGTAATATTCACAACAGGCAATCTACCAGACATGATCTTCGCTATGATCACCAGTAGCTTGAAGATCATTCCAATGGCGATGCTCTCCAGACCATTGAGCGGTATTAGAGACAACACGATGATAGTTAACCTGCCGGGAAGCCCCGAAATGGTTTCGGAATGCTTAGGTATCATCAAGGGAGTCCTACCTGCATACGCCATGGTGTTCCTAACAAAATAGAAAGTCCAGGTGATTTCTGGTCATGGAGCCATGCAAAGCGATTCGGGAGCGTCCGTTGTCCCAACCACCAGCCATAGTAAGGTAATTTATACAATTAACGGTTTCTCTGCGTTTTAAAATAAACAGCTTTGACATCAGCGAAGATACTACTCAATTCAAATTTGTCTTTATTTTGCTAGGTGAAACTGAATGCTCCATTAAGAAAATACTACTACCCTATTATCGATATTAAAGTTGCTTCTGCTATTATTAAGGATAATTGTTTTGAGGAAGAGAAAACCACAGAAACGGTGCCATCGAAAATATCGCTTAATCGAATTGCAGCAGAAGATTTTCGTGCTAAAGAATCGATTCCTTCATTTGCAACTTCGATTATAGATGGTTACGCGGTTAAATGGAGCGATGGCAAAGGAATACGTGTTGTGAAGAATGTCGCAACTGCAGAAGATAAGGTATGTAGATACATTTACAAGATTTCTAAAGAAAGAACTCATTAGAATTGTAATAAATTAAGTTTGTAATTTTGCAGCCAATCGATGAAGTTCTGCAGTCAGGCGAAGCGATAAGAATATCGATGGGAGATCCAATTCCTGCGGAAGCAGACGCAGTGGTACCATTGGAAGATACTTCAGTTGTTGAATATTCGATTGATGGTTTTACAGTAAGTAAGGTGGAAATTAAAAGAAAACCCAACTACAATGAAAACATAATCGGAAGAGACGTACCGAAGAAATCTTTGGTTTTAAAAGAAGGCGAACGTATCAAACATTTCCATTTTAAAGTTTTAAGTATGTTAGGAAAAAGTAATATTTTGGTTTATAAGTAAGTTGAATTATTCAGTTTCCTAAAAGTTCCCTTCTTTACTGTAATACATTTTATTTCTAGACGCCCTTCTATTGGAATCATGTCAATTAGCTATAAAATAAGTGAAAATAGAGATAATAGAGATAAACTATTTCTTAAAAAAATAATAAATAATAAAAGAAATAAAACAAAATGCATCTTAATTAATTTGATTAAAAATTTCCATTATGAAGCAAACGATTGTGGTATAGCTGAAGACAAGTAATAATTAATCCTGATGTATTTGATCTTTTTTGAATGCAATAATTTTTAGTCCTGACGCAATAAAGCAAGCTCTTGAACAAAGTTTTACTTGTAACGATGTTATTATAACGGACAGTTCAATGGAAGAATTGGACATGTTAAAATGTGTCCTCGTTGAGGATTTTCAAGCTACTATACATTTTTCCGGAGTAAAAATGAAATCCGGGTAAGTCAAAGTTTCGTAACTTGAAAGATTTCAATGATTAAATAATTATCATTGTGTTATAGAAAAGACACGACCTTTGCGACACTTATGTATAATGGATAAAGGAAAAGGGTTTTTGGCCTAACTAGTGATCGATTTTCCTGTGCAATAACTTGTATATTATTCATTATTCCTGCTCTACGCTTAATGGAAAAATCTCTCTACGAACGTTTTGTACGTATTTCTATACCACCAAATTCATTTAATATAGTAAGTAAAAATTTTGTTAACAGTGAAATAATTATATTCGAAATACGTTTTGTGTGTAATAAGTAAGCTATATAATTTGAAATTATGAAAAAAATCATAAAATTCCAAAACAATACCGCTTTTGTAAATTGTGAAACGCCGGGGTTTTCTCAAAAACACTTTATTATCACAACACCAATAATCGCCATTATAATAGGTCGCCGATATTCGCCGTTCGCCGAATTGTATTTCGCCACGCCAACGCCGGCTTGACACTCTCCTCCCCAACCTCCCCTTGCCACGCGCGCTTACTCGCCTAAGCCGCATTCGCCGGTCACACTGACTCATCAATTCGAGATTTCCTATCGCCGTATAAGAAACCCGTTTTCGCAAATTTTGGGCATTTCAATTGTATAATAGTACTTGTTACTAGGTTATTTTATTTGTTAGTGCCCCTATAATTTACTGTTTTATTAATTTTTTTTTACTATTTCTTGATAGCAAACAAAGTATTTAATATAATATTACAATAAATTTCATTTTTCAGTGTCTGCGACCATTTAATAATTATAATTTCCCAGAGTACCAACAATTTAAAGTAAATATGACTTTATGATTTTTAAAAAAATCGAAAATAGAAAAATATGATTTAAAATGTATTTAAATAAAGTAGTTAAATACTACAAAAGATGTAGTTACATGTATTTAAGTTCCTGAGCTTATAAAAGTAGTTAGTCGGTTATTTAAATACATTAAAAGTAGTTGAACTACATTCTTAACTACTTATAGTTAACTACTTAACAACACTGAATATTACAATAAATTTCATTTTTCTGATGCAGACACCATATAATAATGATGATTGTCCAGACTACCAACTATACTTGGCGCGTTTGGAAGACGGAGTAATAAAAATGTCAGGCGGTTCCTAAATATCCCTACCCCAGTACGGCAAAATCCTGTACAAAGATCGATTCGATCGATCGAAATTTTGCACATCGCCTACAATTACTCAAAACCATTCACAGAGTATCTACTTTTAGGCCGGCCAATGGGGAGTGAGTAATATCGGCGACTCGTTTACAACCCGGGTGGACTTCGGGTGATTAATGTGTTTATTACTCCGTCTTCCAAACGCGGCAAGTATAGTTAAAGTAAACTTCGGTTCGACTCCAACTGGATGTCTCATATACAGCGCATTAAGTAATTTAGATAAAGCAAACGGTTTACTTATAGTTGAGCCAAAGAAAAATTACTCAAGTAAAGATTCAAATGGAGACTATCTCTATCATTACAATGTAATAATATTTCATGAGAATTATCAGTGAAATGAGCTGTATTATACAATCTCTATTGTTTCTTCTAATTTTAAAATAATACCAATACCTTCTTTTGATCAGTTAACAGTTCTTTTAATTTCTTCAGTTTCAGTTTGTAATAAAATATTTAATTAGTATTTTTGCTTTATTTAATCCTTATTGAAAGATTGTCTGTTGTGTTCTGTAAATACATAAATATGTGCTTAATATTTTTTACGAGAGTATTATATTAGGTAATAATACAATCCCACAATAAGGGGGTAATTCTTTGTCTTATTTCATGACTAAATGTTTTTATAAAAATAGGTCCACAAATGTTTCATTACCGATCTACAGGGCGTTGAAATTTCAAATTTTATTTTTATATTTTTAGAGCTCCTGCAGTTTTTGAGATATTGTCTAATTGTTCTTGACAAAAGGCTTTAGAACGTCTTTTAAACAGCTTCTGAATTGCTCTAAAATCGGTTTATTAACCGATCTAATTGTTTTTCTATACCCTCCGAAAATTTTTTAGAGAATCCTTTGCCCCCTATAAACAACCCAATGTTTGTAAGATTCTCCCTCGCTTGGATTGACAATCCTTTTACAATTCAATCATACTATATCAATTTTTACGATTTCCTTTTACTTCATTGATAAATGTGTTGCCTATCTACTAGTACCTACTAAGATAACGATATGAAGTTGGTGTTAATGACAGATCGCTTAATTTTCCTTCTTTCGCTATAAAATAACTCTAGTCTTGAACGATTTCTATCACAAATTTAACAATACTTTAGCCGTTTTAGTGGATGTAATACTTAGAACATAAGTATTAAGGATGAAGGAATATGCGCCATTTCTCCGATGGTTAAACACATATACCTATTAGTATATACTGCTTACTACGGTCTAAAACCCGTAGCAAACATTATACTTTGGTGTGCCTGCTTATTTATGCGCATGCTCAAGTGAAAGATTTCTTGATTGGCTACTTTTGACAGAGCAAATGAAACGTGCTAGCTTTCATTTAGGTGGAAAGTGGAGAGTGGAAGCCATTTTTATTTTTTACCGTTGTGCATATCGTCTATTTAAGTGATTTTTATTGTGTTCATTGCGTTATTGAAACTATAGTATTTTATTGACTATTTAGTTATGTCTCCATGAATTTTTTTTTAATTAACAAGTATAAAATTTTAGGGAGATACCTAATTCAATTTTTTTCAATTATTTTAATTTTTTGATAATAATTTTAAAATGATTTGAAAGTGATTACAAAAATTATTTCATTATTTGATAATTTTGCTGATAATATATTTTTAAAATCGACTTCGACTTGCGTGTATAAATATGGCGGGTTACCGAATTTAACCACGATTTCAAGTATTATTTTCCTTCTTTTCTTTTTAGGCCTCAGCTACTCGCTATTGGTCCTTTTAAAATTAACGCGCTTGCGTATAAACGACTAAGCACACCATTGAGGGTCGGATCTCTCTCTTTAATCGCTAAGATTTTCTCTCATGGAATAGATAGGGAGTTAGCAGTATATTACTAATAGGTATATGGTTAAACAAAAGAAACAAAGTCGGCCATTTTGGATAACCACTTTGTGACTGACATTTTGTTTTTGTTCTGACGTTTTGATATTTGAATCCGCCAATTTATTTTATTTTTAAGTGTTACCAATAATGTAGAAAAAATTAGACGGGTTTATACAAAGCCGATACAATTTAAGGGTCAATAATGTTATATAGCATTAATAAAATTTTAAATGTGTGATCGTTTTTCATTTCCATTAATCTAGTAAACCTCCTACATTCGACCTCAAAAATTATTTGAATTTCTTCGTTATCAACTTTAGGGTCTGTAAAATATTAATTTTATTTAACATCGGTCTTTTTATTTTTCTTTTTTATCTATGTCTATGTCTATATCTAAATTCTTTTTATCTAAAGAATCTTTCCTTACTAATTTATGTTCTAAGTATAAAATGGATACTTACTTAAAGGATTCTTTAATGGCCGATTTCATTATGTTAAAGGACACTTTAGCGTTTTAACAATTAAAAGGCCTTACTTGTTATTTAAGCCTCTTCTTTATACTATACTGGGATAGTTTTGTTTCTTTTTTTCCATTCTGTTACTAGTTCGAAATCGTTCAAATTTGAACTACTACTTACATTAAGGAAATAGGAAAAATTGAAATAGTATGATTGAATTGTAAAAGGATTGTCAATCCAAGCGAGGGAGAATCTTACAAATATTGGGGATGTTTATAGGGAGCAAAGGATCTTCTATAAAATCTTTGGAGGGCTTAGAAGAGCAAGCAATTAGAGCGGTTATAAAACAATTTTAGAGCGATTTAGAATCGGTTTTAGAAGAGCAATTCTGAAGCAGTTTAAAAGACGGTTAAAAGCGATTTGTGAAGAACAATATCTCAAAAACTGCAGCTCAAAAAAACATTAAAATAAAATTTGAAATTTCAACATCCTGTAGATCGGTAATGAAGCGTTTGTGGATCAATTTTTATATGAACTTAGTCAACATAATACAACAAACATAATACTCTCGTAAAAAATATAATATTCACCAAAACAAATATTCTACACAATTTTATTTTTTTGAGTTAACAGTAATTTTGCTACTACTAATTGATCGGATACTACCTAAATATTTGATATTATGTAGTTTTGATTATTATTTAACAATTTGAGTAGTATCCGATCAATTAATAATAGTAAAATAACTGTTTACACGGGAAAATAATATTGTATAGCAATATTTGTTTTGGTCCATTTCATATGCGACTGGGCTCGTATTTACAGAACACAACAAACAGGCTTTCAATAAGGATTAAATAAAACAAAAATACTAATTAAATATTTTATTACAAACTGAAACTGAAAAAATTAAAAGAACTGGTTACTGATCAAAAGAACGTATTGGTATTATTTTAACATTAGAAGAAACAACAGATTGTATTTAATAATACAGCCCATTTCACTGATAATTCTCATGAAATAATATTACATTGTAAAGATTGCGATAGTCTCCATTTGAATCTTTACTGAAGTAATCTTTCTTTGGCTCAAGTATAAGTAAACCGTTTGCTTTATCTAAATTACTGAATAACATTGATACTTCCTCTGCAGTTGTCATTCCAGTCAAAGTCCTATTTACTTTAACTAGTCGGTACTCTGGACAATCATCATAATTACGTGGTGACGAATGCTAAAAAATGAGATTTATTGTAATATTATATTCTATACTCTGTTTCCTATCAAGAAATTATAAAAAAATAATAAAGCAGTAATTTATAGGGGCACTAACAAATAAATACAACCTAGTAACAGGTAACTTATACTGAGAGAGGTAACTGTATACTGAGAGAACTAATAAAGTAAAATAAACGTAACTATTATACAATGTTAAAAGCGGTAACGTTTTGGAATTTTATGATTTTTTTTTCATTAATTCGCGCCTGCTATATTTTCCATATTAATTACTTACTTAGTTTCATAATTTTAGATTATACAGTATGTGTCACGACGAGGGCCCATTAGAAGTATCTGGAAAAGTAGTTGTAATTAAAATTTGAAAATTTGTGTACAAGTATTAGTCGATACGCTATATTCAATGAAAATATTTTCAACTTTTCTTTACTTCCGGTTATACCGGAATGCAGATATGGCCGATACAGACCCTTATAAATAATTTTTACCATGTAAATTGTTTGTAATTAATTGATTATTAATTTTGGTACTTGTGAGATATTACATGGCCAACTTGTAAAACAGAGTTAATAATCAAATTAATAATCAATTAATCAAGAAGAATTTACATGGCCAACTTTTAAAACCTATTTAATTGAGAATTAGGCAAAACTGTAAGTTTTATGTAAAAATTTTAATATCTTCAAAACTATTAGGTTTAGGTATAGGGAAGTAAACATGAACTTCCCTAATTTTTTACCGCTGATTTCAATAAAATAGAAAAAAATGGGTGGTTCCATTTTAAAAAATGAAATAATTTGGTATTTTTGAAGTTCAACTTTTCACATGTTTTGTGTACACCCTGTATAAAATAAAAAGTTTTTAACACAGATTCAAATACCTTTGACCTTGCTAGTGGCCACCCTACAGAAACCGTATCCATATCTATAAAGGGATCCCCGTAAAAAAATAATTTATAAGGGTTTGCATCGGTCAAATTTTTCAAAAAAAAAAATTAGTAACTCAAAAAGTATGCATTTTTGAAAAAAGTTTTTTAGACAAAAGAACTCTAAAATTTTGCGTACATTTCGAAAATATGTTAATATATGGGATGTCCCATTTAAAATAACAAAGTTGATGTCCACTTCCGGTATAACCGGAAGTAAAAAAAAGTTGAAAATATTTTCATTGAATAAAGCGCATTTTTTAATTTTAATTACAACTGCTTTTCCAGATACTTCTAATGGGCCCACGTCGTGACACACACTGTATAGCTTCCTTATTTCAAACAAAACGTATTTCGAATATAATTATTCCTCTGTTAACAAAATGTTTACTTACCTTAAATGCACTTGGTGATATAGAAATAGGTAGAAAACGTTCGTAGAGAGATTTTTCCATTAAACGTAGAGCAGGAATAACGAATAATATACAAGTTATTGCACAGGAAGATGGATTACCCGTTAGGCCAAACACGATTTTCAATGTTTCATTATACATAAGTGTCGCAAAGGTCGTGTATTTTCTATAATATAATGATAATCATTTAATCTTTGAAATCTTTCAAGTTACGAAACTTTGACTTACCCGGGTTTCATGTTTACTCTGGAAAAATGTATAGTAGCTTGAAAATCCTCAACGAGGACCCGTTTCAACATGTCCAATTCTCCCATTGAACTGTTCGTTATAATAACATCGTTACAAGTAAAACTTTGTTCAAGAGTTTGCTTTATTGCATCAGGACTAAAAATTATTGTATTAAAAAAAGGATCAAATACATCAGGATTAATTATTACTTGTCTTAAGCTATACCACAATCGTTTGCTTCATAATGGACATTTTTAAGCAAATTAATTAAGGTGAATCTATTTGCATCTCTGATTTTGCCAGGGGCTAGTTCTTCTTTAGGTTCACAAATATAATTGCCAATTGATATGACTCCTATAGAAGGGCGTCTAGAAAAAAATGTATCACAGTAAAGGAGGGAACTTTTAGGAAACTGAATATTTCAACATACTTATAAACCAAAATATTTGTTTTTCCTAACATGGCTAAAACTCCAAGAGAGAAATGTTTGATACTTTCTCCTTTTTTTAAAACCAAAGAATTCTTCGATACATCGCTTCCGATTCGTCTAAAAAAATTACTAGATATACCACAATTGTATTTAAAAATGTTCCCTCACCTTATGTTTTCATAGTAGTTGGGTGCTCTTTTGATTTTCAAAACAGCTTTTTTAATTACTTTAGAACCATCAATCGAATATTGAACTACTAAAGTATCTTCCAATGGTACCACTGCGTCTGCTTCGGCAGGAATTGGATCTCCCATCGATATTCTTTTCGCTTCGCCTGACTTCAGAACTTCTTTGATTGGCTGTAAAATTACAAACTTAATTTATTACAATTCTAATGAGTTCTTTCTTTAGAAATCTTGTAAATGTATCTACATACCTTATCTTCTGCAGTTGCGACATTCTTCACAACACGTATTCCGTTGCCATCGATCTTTTTAACAGCGTAACCATCTATAATCGAAGTTACAAATAAAGGAATCGATTCTTCAGCACGAAAATCTTCTACTAAAATTCGATTAAGCGATCTCTTCAAAGGCACCGTTTCTGTGGTTTCCTCTTTATCAGAACAAATGTCCTTAATAATAGCAGAAGCTAATCCAACATCGATAATAGGGTAGTAGTATTTTCTTAATGGAGCCAGTTTCACCTACGAAAATAAAGACAAATTCGAATTCAGTAATATTACCTTCGCTGATGTCAAAGCTGTTAATTTTATAAATTACCTTACTAAGGCTGGTGGTTGGGAAAACGGATGCTCCTGAGTCGCTCAGAATGGCTCCGTGACCGGAAACCACAGATTTTTTTTGTTCTGTTAGGAGCTCCAAAGCGAGGGGTAAGGCTTCCTTGATGATACCGAAGCATTCCGAAACCATTTCGGGGCTTCCCGGCAGATTTACTATCATCGTGTTGTCTTTAATATAGCTCAAGTGTCTGGAGAGCATCGCAATTGGAATGATCTTCAAGCTACTGGTGATCATAGCAAAGATGATGTCTGGTAAATTGCCTGTTGTGAATATTACGTTGATTTTCAAGTCGAACCATTCTGTTAGAGTCGATTTAATTTCCTGCATATCCACTGGTACGATTTTTATTGCGATTATTTCGGCCGATGGAAACTCCTTTAATATTTCTTCTTTTAATTTAGGACTTGATGAATCATTGCCTTTAACCGAATAACTGCTGTCGCTGACTGTAATGGAGATTAAATTTGAATTGAAGAAATGTAAAATGAGTTGCCTACTTACCAGTAAGTATTCCGAAGCTTATCTGAACAGGCATAATAAAAGTTCTATAAAATATAAAGAATAGATGTAATAAGAGTAGCGGGAGCGGTATACCCAATTTTTTTTATACAAAGTATTTACTACAAAGTACAACAGCAAGATTTTGAAAATTGACTCAACATAAAGCTAGAGAAAAAAAAATGTTATTGTTATTATTTATAGAATAGCATGTGGGTAATTCAATTTACACAAAATTAGGGATAAGTACCAGTATTTATTTAAACTTAAATATACCTAGGTATCTTCATTAAACAAACGAAAAGATTTTACAAGTACAGGGTGTTCCAATAAAAAGTAGCCCCTATAATGAGCTTATAATTTGTAAACGCCTAATCATAAAAACATGCTGTTTTCTCAAAAATCTTTTTTTTTATTACAAGTTTTGTTACAGTGATACAGAAATTATGCATTACCAATACAGGGTGTTGTATAAAACTGTCCTCTTTTAAATTCACAGTTACTAAATTTTTTTAAATGGAACACCCCGTATATATAGAGATATTTTGAATGATATACTCTTCTACTTTTCGAAAATCTATTATTTGTACATGTTATTCTAGAAAAGAAAATGTCCTATTTCATAAAATTTGGTTAATGTGAATTTAAAAGAGGAGATTTTTATGAAACACCCTGTACAGGCGATACGAAATTTTTGTGTTACTGTAACAAAAAGTTATAGCAAATTAAAATATATCTTCCAAAACCGCAAGTTTTATGATTAGGCGTTTAAAAATTATTAGCCCATTAATTTTTGTATTTTGTATTTAAAGGGGCTATTTTTCATTGGGACACCCTGTATTACGAGTATATAATAATTTATGTTTGGAAGAGCAAGTAAGTAATTTAATTTATTGAGAATTGCGGAGGAATCAGAATTATGAAGGTTGAGTTTTTCTTTCGATATTTACTATACAGAAATCTGTTTGGAAATAGAAAAAAAAGTTTAAATGGACAAATTTAATATTTGCAGTTTTGTGAGACATATTTCACAACCAAGTACATCAATTTTGCAAAATATGACACCTGTCAAAGTATTTAAATTTACTTGGGCGACGAAATATGTATGGGTAGACCGCAAAAATTGCGGTAGACCGCATGCTAGAGTGGCTACAAAATGATTTTTCCGTACCATAAACGTGGCTGTGGCGAAAAAGCTTGTGTTGGGAAAATGAAATAAAAATAGAATTTTCTAATACAAAAAAAGTAACATGTCTGCTGGTGCTTCACTGAATATTTAACGATCAACATCAATAAACAAAATAATCGATACAACTTATTGTTGAAAATAAAGAAATAGTTTATTAAGCAAAAATACATCTTCCTGTTTAGTTTGCATTATAAGCAAAACTGTACGTGACTCGATATTTGTTTTTTTTTTTTTTTTTTAATTACCTACCGAGTCGCCATTTTTTATGAGAGAATTTACTAACGAAAATATTTCAAGAAAATTGAATTCCTTCTTTTAGTCTTTGGATAGTTCAGAAGTGTCTTCCAATTGTAGTTAAAGTGAATTAAAATAATCATTTATTTCAGTATATAAAAGACAATTGTGTTTTATAAAGCCATTTCCACGATATTGACGATTTAATAAAAACAATATTTATCAATATTTTAACTATTTAACACCTAAATAAACTTATAATTTATGTAATAATTATACAGACCTTTGCTATTTTTCCGGTGATTCAATTAACACAACTGAAACAGTAACTAATCTCGATGAATTAATTTCTCACTACGTTTTAATTTAGTAAGGCACTCGAACAGATACAGGGAGTTCAGATTCAGACATCCAGTGAAGAAAGAAGTAAAAAAGCTCTGTGCTGTGGAATATGTGGAAAATGCGACGTTGCCAAATATTCCTCTCTTTATCTGGGATTACCCTATGTGGGGATGACCAACCACAAACGCTCAATCGGCTCAATTGATATAACAGGTAAAAGTTGGAGAAAATTGAGTAGAGAATTGTCGTATGTACATACACCGTAGACAAAATAGGTACTATTTAGTACTATTATCTGTTTATATGTTAAAAAAATCCCTAAAACGAAAACGGTGCAAAGAAATGGCCAATAAACAAAAGCACGATCGTATACTACAAGGTCTGGAAACTCGAAATATTTTATTGGCGTTATCTAGTTGATGAAACTATAGTTGAATAGTTTACTTCAATATAAGCTCTGTAAACATTTAAATTGTGACAATCTCTAGCAATCTAAATGTTGAATCCAAAAAATATCCTTTACAACCATAGACAAAATAAAAGAGACTGTTTAAAGCATAGGAAATATCAGACCACGTATGATAATTCCCTACTATCCTTCGAGAGGCGCTGCTATCGAAAAATTAAACATATTTAAAATTTTTTTATTGGTCATAAAGATTGGACGGATTGGAACTTAGCGTTCTGTACGGTTCTTGTTGACAGTCGAGTCGAGTTGTATTTTTTAGAATGTTTCGTGACTCGTAACTAGTGTAGACGCCATTATTGTGTATAACCTAAGTTTGTGAGTTTTTATATTTTTTATTTCTAATTGTGTTTGCTTGTTTAAAATGTCAACCCCAATGCGAAGAAAGGTTCATAAATGTGCATCACCAAGGTGCAATAGCTTGTTTTTTTACTTCTTCGGATAAAAATCTTCAAAAGCATTTTTTTTTAATTTCCTTCCGATATTGTGCGGAAGAAAAGGTGGTTCGATATATATTTTAGGTTTGTCCCATACATCCAAACAGCTGAGACTTTGTGAAGTACATTTTCATGATAATAGTTTCACTAGCACTTTGAAATCACGTCTAAATAAATTTGCTTTTCCTTTAGCACCCGAAACACATTTCTCACTCTTCGCTATTTTCACTGAATTCGATGCTGCTGATATTTTTATTTGTTTTAGATTACATGCAATATAAGAAGCTGAAGATCCGACCAACTGTCTTGTTGTACAATTAGATTTTTTAATAGCCACAATTTTACTAAAACAATTTTATTTAAATTTAGTGTATTTAGTGTATTGTATTGTGCATAATTTTTAATAAAATTTTACATGAAACACTTTTAATATTATTTTTTAATTGTATTTTAAATATTTCAATTTGTTAATTGTGTATGCATTTGATAGCCGTTTTTCATGCTTGAGAAACGGCTATTAAATGACTACACAATTGTCAAAATGTAAGAAAATAGAGTAGAATTACAAAAATTAATTTTAAATTTTCCGCCAATTTTTGTTTTAAATATATGTGGGACCCGGGTTATGGGTTTACAGGGGTCCCATAAAACTGCTTTTAACGATGTACAAACTTTATTGTTGTATCCACAAGAAAAACACGTAATTATTATTGGAATAAACAAGAAAAATCATGAGTTGAGCATTGAGCGGTTCTTTTCGGCTCTGGTTGACAGATGACAGTTGACTTCGGATCTTCTTTTTTCTAACATTCAGTACGAACTGTCAACAGCTGTTTTCGGCGACTCACACGCCCTCTCGGGGCTAGCGGCAGAGTCGTTACCGGATCAGGTGGAGCAGGAACCGCCACATCCACTCCCCCTCCAGTGACTTGCGAGGGAGCTTGCGAAGAAGACGGCGAAGGAGGTTGCGAAGGAGTAAGGAACGAAACCTTCTTGGCACGGGCGTATGTTCTCGTTGGCCTGTCGATATCCGTGGTGGGGTTGATCTGCGGAGTGATTTGCTCGTCTGATCGGTTGGAGTTGTCATCAGTCTTGGTAATGTAGGCGGGCTTCAGTAGACTGGTAGAAATTGCTTTATCCTCCCCCTTAATGCGGATGATAAATACTT